TTACTCGATCGATTCTAGCATTTCTCAGGCCAGATAGCTTATAGGAAGTCGGATGGCTTGGCTTCATCACCGCCTGGATCTGGCAGCTCCGTTTCAGCGCCAAAATTCTGCCTGAATTCAGCTTTCGACTTTCATAGACCTGCCTCCGCCGTATTCTCTACCTCTGGCTCTAGCTTCCAAATGTGTCACGTCGATTGAGAGCGGCTGATGTTGTCCCAATATCGGCAGGTTCTCAGTCACACCCTGTACATGACTCCCAGGAGATTGATCCATGACATGCCCGAGGAGGTGTAGTCGAAAGAGGAAGTGATGGCCCTGAAGCGTGAAATGCGTAAAGCAGGTGGGTCCAGAACCAACTAGGCCGAAATGAGGCTCGAATAGTGTTTTCATTTCAGAGTAGAAAGGATGCCGTCATGTTGCTATTTGTTATTCGACTTATAATATTGGCTGAAAGAGGTGGTTCTGTTTTGTCTTGCCCGGAAAGAAGAAAGCAAGTAAATGCTCGTCCAGATGGATTCTCCATTCCTAGTCGACTTAACCAAGTTGTCGGTCCTCAAAACAACGCCTGATAAACGGTCTCACTGATCAGACGAAGAGAGTTTAAGTGAAGTAAAAACAAAGGAGCGAGGAGTATGTGCACTCCCGACTTCGATGAACACTCAGCGTGTCGAGTTAAGTGGGCATTCTTAGGTCCAGAAAGCCTTTAAAAGCATGGGCGGATATAAAGATTCATTGCACAATGGCAGATATGCATTAGTCTTCTTTGCAAAACGTGCTAAAAGGCTTCGGACCTCTGGCCAACCGTTTTTCCATTTGTTTCGTCCAGAATGGACCACGCCTTGTGATATTGTGGTAGGAGTATGAGAAGCTAGTTCTCCGATAAGAATCTTCTTTTCAGGGTGTCATTCACTAGGCTGAGTGAACATTTGCATAAAAAGTCACCATTTCAGCTTTGGAGACGACCGAAAGAGCTAAAAGGAAAGTCATTTCTGATGGCCTGCTGTATGACATGTCTCGGGAGATCTTAATAAATTCGCCTGGCATACATGTTGGCAAATGTATTGCATTCAGGTGGGGATGGGCCATAGATTTTCCGGAGATCAGAAAAAATCGTCCTCGGAGGAGGACATTTTGAATCCGACAAATGGGACAGTATAAACAGAGACATGGCCTGGCTTGGTGTGTGAAGAGGCGGAGAGAATAGGGCGCCTTCGCAGTGGTTGGGCCAGTGAGTTTGTGGGCAGGTTTTTCGGATGGCGATTGAGTGAAGAGTGTGGGAGACTCGAAAGGGAGGGCTTGACTGTTGGAAAGCCGGCTAGCCGGAGGGGGCGACTTGTCGACCAGACAAGTTTAGGTGTCTGCCTTGCCTCAACTCACGCGGGGCGTCGGAAGCGGACTCGAGCCTAATGCGTGGCCTACCAGGGAGTCGAAGGGGAGAAGCCAAATTGGTCCATCTTGCTGAACGGGCCCTGGCGGGAGAACTGAACGCAATCGTCGGTCATGACAAGAGAGCAGATCCTGCTCGGCACAGTTGGATGCCCAGTCTCCTCTTGTATTCATGCATAACCATGCCTTAAACGTGTTGACGTTTCAGCCTCTGAACAAATGTGTGGTTTGGTGCATGGAGGAAAGACGTTATACCATTAATTACTTTATTAAGTAACCAATTTATTTTTTTAGCATGTGAATAATTACTCAGTGATGGCAGATATAAAAGTTTACGAACTAGCGTATGGAGAACTATGGATGGATATATGAAGTGAAGATAGCTTAACTTACCAGCCGATATATATATATATATATACACCCAGATAGATAGCTAGATGGCTATAAGGCAAAATATTTAATGAAACAAATAGGGGAGTTTGATAGATGAAATCTCTCACTTGGATGCTTGAAGGAGTAGGAGAATCAATTAAAACAATCTTTTCAGCTCTGGATGGATAGATTAGATCGAGCATATAAATTAAAAGTTAAAAATTTAGAAAACCCTCGGTTTGTCTTGGCTGGTAGGAAACTGATGTACGTATGTGTGCTTTCTGGATGTATCTTTTGTGTGTATGTGTGCTCCTCTATGCCAGTTCGTGGGTGCGTTTGTGCGAGTATACACACGTGTTGGAGGGGCACTGCTCTGGGCTGGTGAAGACCAGCAGGATTGGATACGGTGAAAGAGTAATCGGACCGCCTGGGGACGGGGCTGAAGATGATTTTGGTCTTGGCTGATCTAGTGTTTGCAGTAGAGGCTTTCGCTGGGTCTGACAATGTTCACGCCGACTTGTAGTAGTTGCAATAGGTACCTAGTACCAGGCTCCTTTTGCGTGATGATGTGCGCATCGGCATAGCTAAATTCCTTCCCCACTTTGTCCACATTCGTCACACGAAAATAGGCACGACTATGCTAAACTGAATGCGCACAAACGGGCAAGCAGGAACACACTAAAGCCCATCTTCTCCCCTACCTAGTTAACCATTCAATTGGCTAACTGTTCTATAAAATGTGTCTAACCACGATCCTCCATTCCTCTTTCCGGGCCTCTCTTTTAAGGCAAATTCACCTGTTCGGTTTGGCAGTGGTTTCGTTATCTAACTCTTGTTTCATTATTTGAACTTTATCCTTTTTTGTTCTCTCTACCATTCCTCAATCACCTCAAATCATTCATTCAATCATTTATTACAGCACTCATACCCTAAAGCACTGACCTGGATGCGAACGAAGATAGGCCGGAGGCATTATAGCTTTTGTCGTGCTCTTGTGTGCACACACACACACAAGCACACATAAGTGGAGTATGTTCATGACCTTGAGATTGCGAAAGTGCAACTTTATTTGGGTCAGAGCAGATATTAATTAAGCGGGGGAAATTAATGAAGAATGGCCACCGCCAGTACGTTTAAGTCATACTCGCTTGGGTACAACTCATCCACTCTGCAAGACGTAGGAGTTAATTGTTAATTGTTCCCACTTGGTCTGCTCCCCCCATCTGTCCACACATGTGGGAGTTGAGCAAAAATGATATAAGGTTTACTTATTCTTCGGTTCGGCCCACAGGGAACAAAACCCGGAATCCCTATATTGGTCCATTTGGGAGAATTTCGCTTCATTAAATAGCGATTTTAAAAAAATGGAAACGAACAGGCCTAGATTATAATAGACTCATACCGAATAATAGTTTATACTAAAAGTCAACCTTCGCATTGAGTAATGATTCATCTATTCGTGGCAAGAGCAGAATATGATTTTGAAATTCGTGTCATATGGAGAGGATAAACGCAGCAACAGCAACCCAAGTATAAATCGAGTGGCTAGGTTTATAAACAATCGGTTGCTCCTGAATAGTAACCCGAGCCACTTTAGGTTGCATAAATCGATGTAGAATGGATAGTTGAGTTCTATCCAAGACTTAAAAGTCAATTCTGAGAAAGGAATGGACTTCATTTTCGGGTTAATAATCATTATTTATTGATGATTTCGAAACCTTGATATGTGCAAAATAGTAAAATTGTTGGGTGTACCGGCAAGCATAAGTTCGCCTTATCGTTAATTAACCCACTGTAAAATGTAAATAGGAAGAGACATGACCAACTGGTATTCAGTAGCTATGTATGGCGGAGTGGTGACGCAGCTCGACGCGGCTCGACGAGACCTGTTGGGGTGCTGATGAGATCCGGGCGAGTTCGAAACTGCAGTTCAGCCTGGACTTCAAGCAACAAGGTCGAATGAAATTCACTTGCATCTTGAGATATTCAAGTCATTTTATTTCGGCAGACTCAGACATCAGACCCTTCATCACTTTAAACAAGATGTGGTTACTCGAGTCCTGTACTGCAGCCGTTTGGTTTTATACGATGTTCATATTGACACAGTCCACGAGATTTCCTCCCTCGTTTTGGGTGAAAACGGGCTGAGCTTTCGTCCATCATATGATGGACATCATCAGAGCTGGGTTTCCTTCTTGTACGAGTCTCACGTTAACACTAGGCCAAGAACACTATGCGGCTTTATCTTACCTCTTATATAGACTCAATTAAGCCAAAAGAAAATTAAAAACTTAGATAGATCGATATAGAGTGGTTTGTTTAATTATCTTTCATATTTGTCCTGTTACTTTTGTTTGAGTGTGTGCGTGTGTGTAGGTGTGTCTGTTAGCGTCTATACGCAGTACCGCTCCTAAATCAGAGTTGTCAAAAGGCTAATGTCATACTCTGATCATAAAGGACTAATGACCCAACAGAAAATCTTGACCGAGATTGCGTAATTTCATAAACAAGTATGGTTGAGATAATGAGATATGAGCTTGTAAGTATGAAAGTCAAGCTACGAAACCACTTGTCTTAAACTCTCTGTCTAGGGTCATTAACGTTTAACCCTCACGGAAAGGTAAGACTGGGGCTGCGTAATCTGGCATGTCTGGTTTCGTTGATGAGCTTAATCTAACATGTTGGACGAATGCGAGTGAAGTTATAACTATCTTCGAGCAGACTAATTGAGTTGCCCTTTTTTGACGGCCGCTCAACACCCTCTCTCTCCTTCAATCTATCAATCAAGCACAAGTAGTTCATACTCAACTTTCTACCACCGTTCCTCATATTCAAAGTATTTTCTAGGCTATTAATTTTAATAGTCTCTCCTATTTTTCTTTAAACCTCAGACGTACCATAATCAGCAAACCTACTAGTTTGAGACCATTCTATTTCTTGTCCAGTTTCTATCATGTGTTCAGCCACTTCTAACCGTTGGACCTTTGCAAGCATTTTTGAGTTCTCCCAATCTTTGTCGAATAGGTCGGCATGTCTCACCAAGATAACATCGACCATATGAGCAAACAATCTTGTAACAACCGGATCTCAATAATCGGTCATATTTCTCTCTGCTGGGTCCTTACTCCTTGATGATCAAAATATGACATTAGCCTTTTGATAACTCTGATTTAGGACCGGTATTGCGTATAGATGCTAACACACACACATACACACACTCACCAACTCGAACAAAAGTAACAGGGCAAAAACGAAAGATAATTAACCAAACCAATTTATATCGATCTATTTAGGTTTTTTATTTTATTTTGGCTCAACTGAGTCTATATAAGAGGTAAGATAAAGCCGGATAGTGTTCTTGGCCTAGTGCTAACGTGATACCCTTACAAGAATGATAAACAGCTTAGATGATGTCTATCATATGATGGACGAAAGCTCAGCCCGTTTTCACTTGAAACGAGGGAGGAAATCTCGTGGACCGCATCAACATAAACATCGTATAAAAGCCAAATGGCTGCAGTGCAACGAGATTCATCCGTCCTCATCTGGTGAAATCGACCAACGAATCTATTCTTCATTCACTTTCATACGAAATGAAAGTCCCCCCAACAATGTTATCTCAGGAGATTTATCGTAACCCAGTTTCTCTTCGTATCTATAAAGATGTTAAGCTTTCGCCAGTCATATGACGAACATCACCAGAGCAGGGCATCATCCTTACAACCATATCCAAGCTAAAGAGTAAATGGGAGTTTTCTTGACTCTTTAGCTTGAATTTGGTCGTAACGATGATAC